TTAGGTAAATATTTTAATGAAAAAGTATAGTCTTATACACGCAAATATACAGTACTTCACTTTGAATGGATGTGCTCTCTCTTTTTGACTGTCTACAGAAGGGAAGTGAAGGGACATCTCTAAATGGGACACAGAGCAAAAACTGACAGGGGTTGTGTAACCATTCCCTACTTTCTCCAAAATCAAGAAAAAGTGCTGTCTTTTGATATACTTAAAAAATATATAAAAATGGTGTATTCTTAGGGTGACTGACAACTGTATTTTGTGTAGTACAACATGCCTTCTACTTTCAGAGAAGTGTCGGGCAGAAATAGACAAAATACGTGGAGACAAAGACCATCTTGACTATGAGGATAGAGTAAGGATGCCGTACACACAGGCTGCTCTACAGGAAGTCCAACGCTTTGCCTCGGTGGTGCCACTAGGAGTTGCTCACTCACCCATCAAAGATGTGCAGCTGAATGGATACACTATTCCAAAGGTGAGCAAATAACCTTTTGTAATAGCTTTTATACTCTAATTCTGGCCATAAACATTACACCTTGATTACCCGGTCACTGTAAAACCAGGAGCCTGCAATAAATATGAGGGCCCACCTAAAAAAATATTTAAATGTAGCTCCAGACAGGTAGGCCCCCACATTGCATTGTTGAGGATTTAAAAGAGATTGTTCAATCAGATTGGAACATGTGTTGGCAGCTCAACTAAAAAGTAGACCCGTGCTTGGTACGTTTACATGGGTGTCCCATATAAATCCCACAAGGCCAACCTCTGGACTGGCACAGTGTTGCACCTTTAGCATTGCGATCTTTGTGCACATGATACAGAGTGCAATAGGATTCCGGCCAGAAGCTGTGGCTTATATTTGCCACTGGGGCACCAGAAGATACAACACAATATTTTTATATTATTTTTCTATAAGCCATGTTTTGTTTTACTCTATGTTTATGGGCCCTCTGATGTAGTTAAATATACTGTATGTCTGGATACATATAGACAAAGGCTTCTTTAAAGAAACTTTGTCATCACAGTCTTTAGAGGTACATGCTCTAGAGCAGAATTTTTCCAACTTTTTTCATTCATGGCACCCTTTAAAAGTATGTAAAAAAGTATGTTGAGGCACCCCAGTCTAAACTGTAAAAAAAAAAAAACAAATGTGAAAAAAAAGTGTGGCCCCCTCCAAAAACACAACAAAATATGGTTCCCCTTCACATCAGCATCACCTACTTTCACCCCAGAAGCCCTCCTTTCACATCAGAAACCCCTTTACATCAGAGTTCCCCCTTCTCATTAGTCCTCCCTTCACATCAGTTCCCCTATCACAGTCCCCAGAGCCCTCAGTCCCCCTTCAAAACAGAGTCCTCAGTTCCAGTTCCTCTGTGCAAAAGTTTAGAAGGCACCCCCAAAGAACCCAGAAGGCACCCTGGTTGGGAAAGACTGCTCTACAGCTGTCATCCTGACCCTTGCTTCACTATTTAGTGTGTCACAGACCTGGAACAAGCATGAGCATATCAGGTGTGCCAAAACATTTCCAGCTCAGTGACTCATCACGCTGTTAGAGAATGATGTGGATGATGTTGAAACAAGTATGCAGTGGCAGTTCTCAAAATTCTATCCTGGCAGATCCCTTAAAGGATCACAGTTAGCAGAAGCATGTAGTAAAATATAATGATAATGGAATACTACTCAATTTTGTATAGATATTTCTCCCTTGAAATTTTATTCCACTATGTTATTTTTGGGTGGTCATTGAATAGTTTGTGTGCTTGATATAGCTATATTGACTATAGTTGTGCTGACCCCCAGAGGACCATATAGAAGGTGTTGCTGTTTTTAACTAGAGCCTCAATGCTTTAGGTTTACATTTGGATATTCATCATCAGCTTGGTAACGTCAGAGACAGTTGGAAGGAACTGGGAATCCCGTTTAACAAAGCACAAAATGTTAACTCTAGTCTTTTTGATGTTTCTAGGGAACATTCATCATCACAGATCTATCCTCATTGCACTATGATGAGAGTAACTGGAGGTATCCCTATGAGTTCAATCCAGAGAATTTTCTGAACAAGGATGGAGAACTGATGAAATCAGAATCCTTCCTGCCTTTCTCTGCAGGTAAAATTGGACAAAGGGTGCAGCTGCAGATACAGCTGTATAGACACGCTGCCCTCTTATAGTGCTCAAAACACTAATGTGCACTGTGCATGTCACTGAGTCATCACGTGATCACTGAACAGTGCTTGCTATGTAGATTACATAAGAGGGAACCAGTGTTCAACTTAAGCGCTGGTGGGTGAAGCAGGGATGTGGGTTAGAACCAAGGTCATCTGTGTGTATTGGTGCATGTAGCCTGTGCCTATAAATTTGTTGTCCTAGCCCAGAAGCATTCATGTCCGAGTGGCTACCCTGAGCCTCCAGAATTGCAGCAAGGCAGTGTAGCCACACTATAGGCAGAAGTGAACCTGCTATTTTCTTCAAGTTGAGGAGGGATCAGAAAGATGGATGCCAAACCAATCAGATATCAGAGTCTATAAAAAGTTTAATATTTAAAATTGGATCACATCAAAACAGCAGCCAACGCTTTTCAGGGCCAAACATATCCCACTTCTTCAAGGCTCAGAAAAATACAGTAGAAAATGAAGGGCTCAGAATAGTTATACCCAGAGCAATCTTTGTGTCAAGGAAAGACAGCTCTTCTGAAGCGTACAATTAGTGACAGGCAGTAAGAGTTCTAGGCTCTGAAGAAGAGGGATGTGTTTGCCCCCAAAACACGCTCGCTGTTATTTTAATGTGATTGAATTTTAAACATGAAACAATTTATGGACACTGATATCTAATTATCTACTATCCTTGAGTCTTTCAGGTTTCCTGTGATGTTTATACACAGGGTGAGGCCAATTCATTAATACTGGAAAAATTAGAGAACATAGTGAATAATCAGACTGCCCAACCTGCCGCTGGAGCCCAGTCAAAAGATCCAATATTCCTGTGTATGGGATAACTCACTTGTCATAATACGGCCCTTGGTGCCCCTGGCCCCAATACTGAGAATTGAATGGTGTTGCGTTCAATCTAACACTGCAGACTGAATTGAGTGAACATTATCCTAGTTGTATGTCAATGACAAATCCTTTTCTAGCAGTGTGTTGAGTTTTATGGCACCAGCAGCCTACCTGATGAGTAGAGAAGATGTTTGTAGTCCCAATCAAGAAAACAGCCTAGGATGGCAAGGCAACACTGCTTCTTCATAGATATAGTACCACGAGTGAGAGTTGTCACCTTAGGACAGGAAGTGTGCAAATAAAGGATTGATAATCTGCAAAATATTAAATGTTTGCTTTTGGATTTAGATAAACTTTAAAGAAGAACACTGAACAGAAGAAAACATAACCCTTGTGGTGGGGCTATCCCTGCCTGTTTTGGTCTAGGGGGGAAAATAATGAAGATTTGCTAGCCTGATCCTTGGTCTTGCCTGGCTGCTAGGCTGGCCACCCGCAGCCTCTCACCCCATCGGCTTCAGTGGAGGAATGTCAATGTCAATTCAATTCAATAAACTGAATTGAACATGATGACAGGAGGAGCGAGGCAGGACCGAGGTTTGGCTGAGTATATCTTTGTTAGTGCGTGGGTAGCCCCACTGTAAGGGTTTCGTTTTCTTCTGCCCAGAGTTCTTCTTCAATGGTAAAGGCAAAAAGCAGTAATTAACAATTGTCCACTGCAACCAGTCGTCTCTCAGCTTTGTCAGCTGTAGGTTTTGAGAAAAGGAAAGACACTTTCTGGTTAGCTGCTGTGCACAAAAGATGAGTAAGTTACCTACAGAACTAAGTTTAATTTATAATGATTTTCATAAGGCGTAACCATATCTAATGCAGTTAGTAAAAGCACAAATGCATTGTGTACACAGATAAAAAAGGCATATTGGATGCGTTATCCAAATGAAGAATTGTTAGAATTGAACGTTAGAATTGAATGTGTACCCTTTGATCCCAATCCCAGCCATAAAAAGGATCCTAATTCATTTGCTGCTGAGTTAGTGTGCTAGATCATCATTTTTATAATGCACTGTTCATTATCTATAAGATAGATACTATCTATTAGAAAAAATATTCTGATCTCAGCCAGCATAAATTATTTGTAGTCAGGGGATCTGGATCAATCAACAGAATGAGCTGGTGCTGGGAATGAATTAGTTGAAATGTGTACTATCTTACTCTATTCATTAGCCACACTTGGCAGAAATGTACTCATAAATACTTGTGTGGGTCAGGTCAGCCTTTACAATTGCTATCATGATTTATTTTTGCAGGGTGCATATTAGTATTATTATATATACAAGATGTCTAGCTTTTTGATTGCTTGGTACCTACTGCCCATTAATACTAAAAGAAGTGCAGGGTGCAAATTTACCCATCAAAAGTTGAATTTTTGTTTATTCACACTTCATTATTATTCATGCAATTAGAAGAAAAACAATAATTAAGAAAGATAACAATTTTGGCTCTGTAAATGTTTGCACTGACTTCCTATACATCTAAGGATAAAACTCAAAGTACTTTAACCAAGGAGGCTTCAGAATGAATCTCAGTAAGTATTATTTAAGACTGTCTACATTGCATTTAGAGTCCAGTTTCAGGGAACAAGTGGCATGAATCCCTAAACAGCTACAGTAAAGCTGGCCATACACCATTATCATTTGAAAGATCATTCGTGGATGATTTCTGAACGATAATCGATAGATGAATGGGCACCTTAATGCTGTCAAGCAAAGACTTTGGACAAAAGTCAGAATGACTACTCAATTCACCTTAATCGGTATTCTTTGTAATCCACTGTAGCCAGTTAACATAGAGCTCCCCACACCTGGGGTAGGTGGACTTGATTTCTGAAGCGTGTGCAAGTTCTACTTTTTCTATGTTTGATGTATCACAAATTAGAATGAAACTTTCAAGGCAGATTTTATTGTGATTGGTAGGTTTAAGAATCATTTTATTAGTGCCACTTTCACACACTAAATTGCCATGTGTTTGTGGATACCTAACCTTCACACTTGTTTGGACGTTCCGTTCCTAAACCCTGAGCATAAATATGAAGCCCCCCGTTTACCAAAATAAATGCCTCCACTCTTCCAATAGAGGTGTGTCTGAGGTAATTTGTGCCCATTCAGCCAGAAGAGCATTAGTTAGGTTAGGCACTCATGTAGGATGAGACAACCTGGCTCACAATAAGCGTCCCAGTTCATACCTAAGATGTTCAGTAAGTTCCTTCGCAACAAACTCAACAAACCATGTATTTATGGGCCTGGCTTTGTCTACAGGGGTAGTGCCATACTGGCATAGAAAAGTGCCTTCCCCAAATTGTTAACCCAGGGTTGGAAACACACAGTTGTCTAAACCATCTTTGTATGCTGTAGCAATTAATATATTCTACACTGGCAACACCGGAACTCAATCAATTGGAGAGGTGTCCACAAACGTTTGGTATATTGTGCACAATAGGCTTTCTTTATGTAAAAATGTGAAAGAAGCCCGCAGGGGGTGTGTTAGGGAATACCTCTCACAAAACCACATTACTGGTGAAAGAGGAAGCGAGATTGGATTTTTTTCCTCCAACAATGTTGAATGATAAACCAGAGTGTTGTGTTCCCTTTATGCCTTTAAATGGTTGACCCAAAATGTATATATAGCTACGAGAGCCTCTGTCACGATCTGGATCAGGCTCGGAGTCCAGTAGCTG